CCCAAAATTTTACGAAAATATTTTAGGATTCCCAGTCTAATAAATTGAATATGTTTTCTCAGATAATTACCTGAATTTTGTTAAAAAAAATCTTTTTTTCCTTGAAGAATTCCTTTGTTTAGTCATAAAAAAAAAACTTCCAAATGGACACTTTCCTAATAAAACTTTTACTGTCTTTATTTCAACTTTTTATGAACAACAATATAGTGATAGTTCTTTATGATATCTGATACTGTTTATCCAAGTTGGCAAATGTGTTAAGTATTTGCTCTTATATAATGAATTTTTTAACATCTATATTTTATATCTGAAGGTTTTTATTATTTCATGAATGATTTTTTTTAGTATCATCATCATTGTTGTTTTGATCACATCTTGGATGATGTGCTATTCAACTTTCATAATAATTGTCCAGATGTTCTCAGTTGGAATATTCTCCTTAATAAATAATTTTTGATTTGCATTCTCACTTTGGTTGTTTTATTAACATATTTTGACCTTTATGACCTCCAGCTTTCTACTGGTGCACACTGGGATTACACAATAGAGCCAAAAAGACATTTGTGGTTCTTCAGCTTTCTTGAATGATTTACAGCTCAATTATGAAACTGTATTAATGTTATTTCTATTTAAAAAAATTTTTATCAGTTTGTTAAGTTAAAAATTTGGCAGAAATGTCCAACAGAACAAGACTGACAAAGTTTGCAATAAACAATGACAAGAGAAAGAAAAGAACAGGGCAAAAAAAAAAATAAGCAAGCAAACAATATATGCAAGGCCAATTAACATTAATAAGGCAAAAAGTTCACAAACTAAGAATGGTGCTAACACATATGAAAGGGGGATACAGACAGGTGATCAATTGCAGCATTCTGTCTTCAAGACTGAAACTGAGTGAGATAAGACTGAGAAGTAGGCTCTCTTATTGGTTAAGAAAAAATCCCAGCATGCATTTGGATGGTTTTGTTTAGAGGAGAGGGGGGAAGTATTTTGCAGTCATTCCAAAAGAATTGTTACCAAGGAGGAAGATTAAATCAAACTTTCATATTTTTAAGTAAGGGTTTATGTCTAGAAACTCTGGTCTGCAGAGTCAAAGAGCCAAAATTCTTAAAAAGAGCTTAAATTTTTGTATTTTATTATTATTAACATTTAGACATATTTTATTTTCTTTGGGGGATTTCAATTTAAGAACATTTCAGCCCCCCCCCCTAAAATAGGAAATGATTTTCTGATAAATACAAAGAAAATTAAAAAAAAAAAAAAAAAAAATTTTTTACATAGATAAAGCCCTTCAAAAGGTGTGGGCTGTATTTAATATGTGAGAAAAATTTTTTTATTTCTTTAAGGCATGAGCTTCCAGGAATCCCTTCAATTAGTCTGCTGGAATCTTTTCCAAACAATCTGAGGGCTCTAACTACAACAAGGATTGTTGATGTTCCCATGTGCCACATTTTTGAGATTTCGATTTCAAGGTCCTTGTATTTTGATAGCTTTTTGAAGATCTTCAAAGATACATTGCAGTCTGCAGGGACTGCCATATCAATAAGGAGGCACCTTTTTTGTTTGCGGTCTCTAATAACAATGTCTGGGCGGTTAGCTTTGATTGTTCTGTCTGTGTGTATTGTGTAGTCCCATAAAATTGTAACAGGTCCTATCTCCGTAACCGGGTCTGGGTGGTGTTCATACCAGTTTCTTTCAGTTTCCTTTCCGTAGAAGTTGCAGATTTTCCAGTGCAGATATTGGCCCACTCTGTCATGCCGGGTTTTATATTCAGTGGGTGCCAATACCTTGCAACCTGATACAAGATGATCAATTGTTTCTGGATATTTATCACAGAATCTGCATTTTGGGCTAACACAATATTTTAGTATGTGTGCTTGATAATTTCTAGTTAACAAGCATTGGTCCTGTGCAGCAAGGTTAAAAACTTCTGTTTCAGCTTTTAACCCTGCACTACGTAGCCACTGATGGATACGGGGTTTGTCTATATCAGCTTGTTTCGTACGGGCAGAGTATTGCCCATGAAGCGGTTTATCTTGCCATTGTTTCTGTATCTGGTCGGTTGCATTTGTTTTTGCTTTTTTTTATGTATTTTGCAGCTTCAGTCGGTGTATTGTGCGTTTCTTGTATTTCTGCATCCATTTGAAACTCCATTTTGAATTTGTTAGTTTCCTTTATTACGGAATAAAGACACTTACTACTTTCTTGTTCTTTGACACATATCATCATCCAGTCTTCTGAAGTTTCTAGGTATCTTTGAAGGCCAATTGTTGTAGTTTTGTCGGGCAGTTCTAGTTGAACTAATATTCTGCTTCCTTCGGATCTGGGCACATACAGACGATCAACATCAGCTTCAGGATGAACATGCGGTAGCAAGTGAAAAGCTTTCTCGTTTTTTGGCGTCCATTCGCTTAATGTCAGCTATGGTCCAGTTAAGGATGTTAAAGCTGTATTGCACCACAGGGACAGCCAAGGTGTTTATGGCTGATATTCTTTTTTTGAATTCAGCTCAGTATTTAGTACCAGACGCACACGCCTGTAGTATTATTTTTTTATTTTTTCTCCTTCATTTGGATATGTTGTATTCCATCTCCTTCGCTAATTCCTAGGCATTTATAGGCTTCATCTTGTTCCAGTTCCCTAATCTTTGTGACAAAGTCTAAATCTATTGAGTGTGTTTCTATAATTCTCCCTTTCTTGAATGTTACTTTTGCACATTTATCTAATCCGAAGTCCATACCTATGTCGTCACTGAAACATTTTACAATATTGAGGAGGCCCTTCAACTCATTGTCGTTTTTGGCAAAGAGTTTGAGATCATCCATGTAGAGTAGGTGATTGAATATTTTTTTGTTTAGTTTGTAACCATAGCTACTGTTGTTTAGTTCATGCATAAGGGGATTAAGGACAAAGGGGTGAGAGGGAGTCTCCTTGAAAGATACTGCGTCTGATATTCAGACAGTTGAAGATGGCAGTGCCTCTGGTGTGATTTGGGTATAGTATCGTGTTCCACATTCCCATGCTGTGCTTAAGGAAATTTAATACCACAGGGGAGACTTTGTACATTTCCAAAGTCTTAAGGATATAAGAGTGTGGCACACAATCAAGGGCTTTACGACAATCAATCCACGCTGCGCTAAGATTTCTACGTCGTCTCCTGCAATTTTCCAGGATCATTTTGTTTATTAGTAGTTGATTTTGCAGCCATATGAACCTCTTCTGCATCCTTTCTGCTCCAGTGGAAGAATGTTGTTTGCTTCGAAGAAAAAGTAAGTACGGTTCGTCAGGACAGACATGATCAACTTATACGTGGTGGGGAGACATGTTATTGGCCAATAATTTTTCGGATCATCTTTCACTTGTTTTTGGCATGAGATATGTAATGCTTTCAGTGATCCAATCTGGGATTTCATTGGGATTATTTACAAGCATTGATAGAGATTTTGCAAGTGTTTTATGGATTGATGAGAGATGATAGAGCCAGAAATTGGGCACCTTGTCATTTCCTGGGGATTTCCATTATTGGGATTTTGTTAGAGCTTGCCTAACATTATCTGTGGTTATATTTTCCCACTCTTGTATAGGTGTATCTAGCATTCATCTTCTTAATGTTGGATCCATTCTGCATTTGTGTTATATTTCTTTGGGCTGCTCCAGGTATTCTCCCAAAATGTCTGCATATTGCAAATAGATGGTGGCTTTTTGACATGTATAGGTGCTTTTTCAATTTCCTTGTAAAATTTCTTAAGGTCCGTTTGGAATATTTTATTTTGGCGATAGAACCTGCACCATTTTTCGTATCGTCTTGTTCTCTGTGACTTTAACTGAAGTTTCTGTTTCAGCATTTCCTTGATTGATGGAATTTCAATTAGGGATTTAATTTTATATTTCCACTTGATCTTCTTGCCTTTATGTAAGCAGACATTTGGGTTTCTAGTGAGGCTCATCTAATATAGAAAGCTCACATCTGATTTCCTTTATTTCTTGCAGAAGTTTTGCCTTCCAAGCTGGCTCTCTATGTCTGCTATTTTTTTCATTGTCTTGACCCAAAACTTCCCAGTAGCTGCTAAAGCTGTTGCATATATGATGTTGTTAACTTCTGTGATATTTCTCAGTGGTTTATCCATTAACAGTATTTCCAGAGCAGCATTGTATATTTGTACAATGTGCTTATTGGACTTTGTCATATGAATTTTTGGGAGCTGGTCTCTGTCTGACAATTGTGTGAGGGTTACTCTGCTGAGTACTTGAATAACATGGTTTGTCGCTTTGGTGATTTCAGTTTCAACATTTCCTTGATTGATGTAATATTATTATTATCATTATGCTCATCATCATCATTATTATTATTATTATTTTTGACAGGTAATTTTCTTTCATGTTTTTTTAATTGCTTTTTATCATAACTTAATTAGCAGTCACACCACTTGACACCTCCAAAAATAAAATGTAGCCTGCTTATAAATAGGGGAAAGTATTCAGCCATTTAATATTAACAAGAAAAATAGCCTACCTAGGACAATGGCACCTTAGTTCTCTTCAAAGCACTCATCTTGGGACCTTACATATTTATCATCATGTTCCTTCAAATCAATCTACACAGTTGTTTTGAGATTACCATCAGCTGCTTCATCACATTCTCCTTAATATCATAAAAAAAACTGCTTGTGACATAAAGAACCTATTCACTCAGTTATTGTGAATATGACTATCATATAGTATGCCCAATGGGGTTTCACTGCTGGCTGAGTAACCTCAAGGGAGAGCATCTGTTCCTGCATACAAAGAGAGGTTCCTTTTGATTTACTGCCATGTTACATCAAGGGCACACAATTGATTCATAAAATATTCAAAATGGTTGGGTATTTACTAGACAAACTTATATATATGTATATATATATGCTTACATATACGTTTTGTAGCTTTTTTTTGTGAAAATGTGTATTTTATTGGTGTTACTATTATACTATACTTCATGTTTATTGACTTTGATTACTTACTTAAGAGCCCTCTTGAGTCCATCAGTTACAGCTTCTTTCCTGGCTTTCTCAATGCTGAGTGCTTTAGACTTCATCCCTTCACTGACACCATAACCAATATCTTCATGATAGACTCCATCCTGAAGACAAACAGACAATATGATGTAACTGTTTTAGAACCAAGAGAGACATTTTCAAGGCAATCAGATTTTTTTCAGTTATTCTTACTTTAAACACACTTGATATTTTGCTTTTCATTAATACCATGATAATTTTGAAAAAAAAAATTGCACAATGAAAATAAGGCTGATGGTAGGAATTGAACCCATAGCAACAACAACACAGCTGAAAAATGCTCACTAAACATGGGATAGACTGGGTTGCCAGACTGAGCTACTTTTAAAAGCTCAATGCTACTTTAAAAAAAAAAATAATAATGTGAACTAACTTGGGTTAATAATGAGCAGAAAGTCAATTTCAGATTTAGTAGCACCAGTCTTTTCAAACGGAGCTCAATTTGTTATTTGTCGTCTGGCAAAAACTGCTGAAATGGAAAACAACTTTTTTGTGTTAAGCCATATATTATCTACATTTTTGCTTCAAGTTTAACCTACATGTTTCCACAGTCAAGTTAAACTGACACCTTTTTTCCCATATATCGAAATTATAATTATAAACTATATTTTTGGAAAGTAAAAAAGAAAAGTTTTCATTTGAAATCAAGAAAATATTAACTTTAAGCAAAATGGTTACAATATATGGAAAAAAGAGTGTCTCTGTTTAAAATGGCATCAAGGGAGTAAGGATTAAAGAATCAACAAAAAAAAAACAAAAAAAAACTGTTTTCCTCCCCACCCCAAGAATAAAACAAATCTCCCCACATTAGACTCGGCTACTAGGATTTTGCCAAAAGTACATTTTCTTCCATTTAAAATTTAAAAAATTAACCTTTTAGAATTATTTTTCTTGAAAAAAATTAACTAATGTCACAAATACAAGAGCAGTTGACCATCCTAAGTTTTCATAATTTAAAAATAAACAATCAAATTCAAAGCAAATAAAATAGTCACTTATTTTTAACGATGAGTGTATTTATAAGACAACTGATTAGACGCAAAGGCATTTCTCTCATTTTTCATTGACATACCAACCCAACTCTTGGATATCATAATGTAAGCAATTATCAAAATCTTATCAATAACTTGCCATGATGACAGAAAAAAAATATATCAACCAACTACAATGCAATATTTATTATTTACCATTTTATAAATAAGAATGAAAACAAGTGTTTTATCCAATCTAATGTGTTTAACAACTATGCTGTCAATTCTCAAGAATAAAGAAAATGTATAAATCCACTTTCATATATTTGGGTTTTATTAAAATTCTAATCATTGCCTTTTTAAAAATAATAAGCATTACCAAGGAAGTCAAAAGTGTATGGAGTAATAGTAGTGTCAAGGGAATAACCATCCTTTTGACACATTGTTTTTTGTGGGCACGAAGGTTAAACATTGCCAAAATAAGGGTGATGTTCTACCAACCATCTCTTCTATAAAGGTACGAGCTCAATTCTCCCAGAACAGTGTACAATTAATTTTAATGTCATGAAAATAGGCAGGGAAAATACAGTGAAGATAACATTGCAAAAGATACTTCTAAAATCCAAATTTCCCAAAAATGAGGATTGACTTTACCATCACTGAAAACCATCTAATACTGACTGTCCCTGACCCTAAGGCAACAAGTAGGAAAAGTATTAAACATTAATCAAGATAAGTACTGGCATCTTTAATTCATTTAGTTCAACAAGATTAGCTTGTCTTTCATCATGTTACCAAGGAATCAAAGAACACAGTGTGAAACCAAACTATATCTGGGAACCGTAAATTACATTCTAAACTTCCCAGTCAATCAAATACTAATTGAGAGAATCCAAGCTATTAACAAAATAAATAAGACTGCAGCCTATGCCCTGAAAACTGAATTCCTGTTTCTGATTACGATGGAGAGAAACAGTGAATCTTGACTAAATAAATACATCCTGAAGCAAAAAATGAATTCTTTAAGAAAGAAAGAAAACAAAAACAAACAAAAAAAAAACTCCAAAATTTTTATTTTCATTTTTTTTCTCTCTATAAACTTGACAAGGTTGGAATTCCTCAGTAGGGTTGTTCTTTTAGAGTACATTGAAAATGGAGACAGGATATTATTTGAAGATTTGTCATCAGATCTGAGGTCAAAGTATACATTGGACAGATACTTATAGGATTTTTTAGTCAGCAAGAAAAAGAAAGGATTAATTATTTTCTTTAACTAATAAAACACGTTTGGAGATATGTGCTGAGCTCATTGTATTATGTAAAAAAATTTTAATTAAAAAGTCTGTGTTTGTGTGTGTATATAAGTTTCATTAAAGATGACTGACAAGATACTGCAATTTAGCTTTTTATTTCATTTTTCTTATGTTCATAGAAGTGTTTTCTTTTCTGGACATAAAGTATGTAAAAACTGTCCAAATGGATGGTCTATATATATATATATATCCAAGCACTTTCAGTTATTCTATTAGCCATTATATAGAACATTTGGACAGTTTTTACACACTTAATGTCCAGGAAAAAATCATTTAGTTGAACACAAGAAAAATTGAATAAAAAGCTTAATAGCAATACCTTGTGAGTTGTTTTAAACTTGTATAAAAGAGGGATAACTGTCTAAATACACAATTATATATATATATATATATATATATATATATATATATTGTTACGAGGATGAATTTCTATAATAAGGGATTCCACTGAGTTCTACTTGTTATTACAAAAAAGTTTTCATTCATTAAGTAGTTGTAAAATAGAGAAATTAGAAATAGAATGTTTGGAAGATTCTAGATCATTCTATAATCGAGAAAAATCTAGATGATTCGAGAAACATCTAGAAATATGCAAATTACACGTTAACCCCTATAAAAATGGGATTTTGGAAAAGGGTTGTCAGTTGATGAAGGGAAATTTCTGCTGTTATCAACTCCGGCTTTTGATTCAAGGCCTATTATATCCAGCCGAAAGAATCTCTATAAAAAGTTGCTGACCAACCAAAACCCAAAAGAGAATTTCATGGAACAAATTTGGTAAATAGAATTTTGACTAATTTTCATTGACCAAACTAAAAATTAATATTTATTCACACAACCTTTGTGGATTTCCAAATATAGCACTTAGATTACTTCACTAGCCCTAAAGTGATAAAGATATTTGACTCCTTTCCTTCTCCCTCGTAACACTTTGCCAGTAACTCTGTGTTTTCTGTTTTTGTAAGCCACAATTGTTTATCTTGTATATATTTTATGTTGTGTTTTAGCAAATTAAATATTTGTTTGTGATTTAGCTCTGTGTTGTGGTAAATCATTTTTTTTTCCTTTGTTACAATTATCAACACGTAACAATATATATATATATATATACACACACACACAAAAATGGAGAGGATAAAAACTTTACACACAAATACTTGCACATACATAAGTATATTTATTCCTAAGGTGTTATAAAAACGGTGCTCAATGTTATGAAACAGAGCTATGAGTATATATAGTAGTGAATATACATAACGGTCAGAATCCATACCTGAAGATTGCATGAACTGCATGAAACTCCAAGTAGTGTCATCGACGTTGGGTATATATATATATATATATATATATATATATAAATGTATATATATATGTATGTATATGTATATATACTAGACAAATTACCTGCACCTTGCTGTGTATCACATATTTTTTGTAGAAAATGATGACTGATTTTAAATCATTGTTATAATTTGTGGAGAAAAATGACACACTTCAATATTGTTCAATGATCTTGCTGATGTGACTTCCATCTTCTGGCTTTCTACTTCTATATTTTGGTTAGGATTTATTCCCATGTTCAAATCTAAATTTAATTTTAAAAAAAATGAAAAAGATTTTCAGTGGGAGGTTTGTTTCCCCCAGGGACCCTTTTGATCAAAATGAAATATACTTATCCAATTACACTAGGAGTCATTCCCTTGTTCAAATTCAAATTTAATTTATATCAAAGGGAAAAAAAATTTCAGTTTGTGCCTCTTAGGACCCCCCCTTTGATAAAAATATACTTATCCAAGTACCCTGGGTAATGGAGTTTCAGAATAAATGGTTATGGAGGTCTATCCTCAAAACCCTAGGAGGAGTTCAATAACAGACAGACAGAGGCTACAACTCTCTCTCTCTCTAGATATATATATATTTAATAGCTGGCCACTCGTATTCAAGGATACCCGTCTACTAGGGCAGCTAGCCAATCCCTATTGTTCAACACCCACAGAGCCCACCTGTGGTTTATACTGAAACTATGTTGAGCAGACCTTAGTTACAGTTTTCAGGGAGAGAGCATGTTATCTAGCATGATCAACAATTTGAACAAGGCCAGCACACTCAAACTCTCTGTCACAATGACTTGTGACTTTGTGATAGCACGACTATCAATGGCCCCCAAGTGTTCTATCTATTCAATTTCACTCGCAAGGCTTGAGTCTACTCATGGTATGGTTTTCCAGGTACTTTCCAAAGGTGTCGCATACTGGGATTGTCCCCCTCCAGACCAATAACATCAGGAAGTCTCCTTCCTAATAAATTAACCATGTCTCATGTGTATATATATATATATATATATATATATATATATATATATATATATACACACACACATACACACACACACACATACATACATACATACATACACACTTTTTAATAAAATAATTGTGCCATTTGCATTACAACTTACCATAAAACTATCCAAAAACATGAGGATAAAATCTCCATTGTAAATTTATAATGTTCTGTTATGTCAAATATGCTAAGAAATTTCTGTGTGTGCACACATACACACACACATATACGCACACATACACATACACGCACACACACATTCAGGCAGCAAGGAGTCAATTAAACAAATGCTATTAAATTCAATTGTCAATGTGTTTGATTTTTTATTGTCTTTTTCCTATTTTCAAATAAGCTTTTTTTTCCATATGTCGATCAAAATTGTAGATAAATTATCCAAAGTTTATGTTTTTGTTTTGTCTTTTCTTAAGTATTTTTTTG